GTTTATGGACTTGTTTCACCAACATTTTATATTAAAGCTGTAAAAATCGTGAAATCCCACACCACCTTCACTTTTGGGTTGACACATTTTTGATCAAGTTAACCAATGGATTTTGTTTTCATCTCCTTTCTCCCACCGCCAAAATGTTGAAATTTTAATCCTTCCAATTGTAAACAAATAGGAGGAAAATACTCATATAATGTAAGTTGGGATGGCCTTCGCAATGGATCGGGCTCCAGAGCCCATGTCTTCTCGGATTTCCTAAAAACCCAGCCCGCAAAATTAATTTTTTTTTAAAAAAACTGGCGTGTTATGTACATACCACAAGATCAAACCATCTTACCCGTGGGGTCCACAGCTCATTCATCAAACACTGCATCAAGAACCGTTCACTGTTAATCAACGGTGCTTACCCATGGCTAAGCGTTGGAAACCCAAACTCCCCGTTACACCACATCGTCACTTTTCTTCTTCTAGTAAAATACAAATTATGAGGGAAGGAAGCCTGTAGAAATTTTAAGCGGAGAGCGCACAAGAAATCGCGTTCCCGTGCTTTGTTATAACCTTGTTTATATGTACACACATACATACACAAACTTTCCTCTTTACTCCAACTGAGAAGGAAAAACGCATATAGTGTTTTTACCACTTTGCTCAGATAGAGCTGGTGGTGGTAATCACAGTCGCTGCAAATTGTTATCAGAATTGATCGAGTTTAGGTTTTTTTTTTTTTTTTTTTTAAATTCTTCGTTTTAGGTGTTCGACGAGGTTTCTTCAATGGAGACGTTGAGTTTTCATGACGGCAACATTTTCGATTTGGTTGATAGCAGACATACAGATGCTCGCTGCGTAATATTTCAGATTTTCTTTTTCTCACTTGTTATCGAACATAATCTTGTTCCATCTGCCTTTCATGTTATCGGTTCTGTCATCTCTGTTTTTTCTTTTGTTATCAGATAATCACCAATGATTTTCGTTTGTAATTATTTTTTGATAAGATATAACATGCCCTGTCTCCTATCTAGTGTCTTGTTTGTTCTTTAGCTGAATTTAATGGGAGCTCATTTGGCTTTTTCGGATTTATCAGGATCACAGATTGCAAATGCACTCTTCGCTCGTGCGGAGGCTGAGACTGGAGAGAGAATTAGAGGTTATTTTGATTTTTTTTTCAGTACTTAATTGTTATGCATTTTATGATTGATCTTATAGTGTTACATTTCTCCTTGCTTCTCGAAGCCAAAAGACTGTGACTCATTGCTTTCGTTTTTATCCTCGTGATATTGCTAAGGGTATTGCCTTTCCTACTAATCGATGGGTTTGCTGTTTGTCCCTATGTAAAACCTCAATCGAGATTAGTGTACTTCAAGCTACCATAAGTTGGTTTATCTCTTTGTTCTCATAAATTATGTTTTCCTATTGATAGTGGATATTAACTCTCTGTTTCCTGGGATTTTTTTTTCGGCCTATCATTTTCTGCTCTTATGGGATTTAAGATTTAAACAAATTTTAATCTCTGGTGGCATTACCTTAAGGATTCTGTTTATTATTCTTGTGCTGTATATGTCAACCATAGCGACTTGCAAAGTTTAGCTGCAGAAGCAAGTTAGTTAAATGTCTCTGATGTCCATGGAGAATGATTTCTGAGAATAATTACCTCATGAACACTTGACAAATATCATCTTAGTGTGGTGATTTTTTTTTTGAAAATATCTGACTACGGTGATATAGTCTTAGCCTCTTAGATCAAGTTTTCAAAGTGAACCACGGGATGCACTGGAAGGCCATTGGGATGAGGTATGATAGAATTAAATGATTTGAGGGATAGGAGACTTAATGAGAAATAGACTTAGAGCCAGTTGACTCTCTTATGAAAAATGACACTCAATAAGTGTATTGTCAGGGTTCTTACTCATTAACCCCGACTTGATTCAATAATTGGGTAGTTTCAGTTAGTGATTTTTTTTTGGGAAAGAGGGAAGAAAAAGATAGTTGAGAAGAAGAAGAAGAAGAAGAAGAAGAAGAAGAAGAAGAATTTTGAGAAGTAGAATTGATAGGAACTGACGATTGCTGATTGCATTTAAATTTCCAGATAGTTCAGTACATGCCCTACAACAATTCCTCCACCCTTTGAACTCATCATTCTGTAAGGTCAGCTAAAATTTCTAACAGAATAACTAGCTCAACAATTCTATCAATAACAGAAAACAAAATAGGAAACTGGAAGAGGATACAATAAAAAAAAACAGAAATCGCAGTTGGAAACTAAAATTAGCAAGATAAGGGCTTCCTTTAGCTCTAGTGACACTGGCGCTTGTCTGCTATACTCCTCAACCTCCTTTATCTTGTTTTCATCCTTCTTTCTCTTAGCATAGCTGACAATTCCCTACCTTCTAAAGAGACCTTGTCTCCTTGGTGATATCTGGAAATTATTGCTTCAGAAATGCCTCATTCTCCCATGTGACCTTGTCAGGAGCCAAGTTCAGCCATTGCACAAGAACCTGCTCCACGAACTTGCCTCCCTCTTGCACCTTCCTCCTTTGCAGAATGTTAAGAGGCTCTACTTTCGACTGGCCTTCTTGACTAAGTGCTGGTTACTCAACATAACAATTTTCCCTGCCTGGAATATATTTCTCAGCATATATACATGAAACACCAGATGTATCTGAGATCCTTCAGGTAACTGGAGCCTGTATGCTTCTGGACTGATTTTCTGAAGTATGCAAAAAATCTGGCACTGAGCTTAGTGGTTTGCCTGCTAGCTACTGAACTCTGCCTGGAAGGCTGGAGTTTCAACAACATGTGGTTTTATTCATTGAACTCTCTCAGTTTTCCTTGAATCCGTATACTGCTTCATGCAGTCTTGGACTTTTAACAACTAATGGCGCAACATTTGACTCATCTTTTGCCTCTCTTCCAAGAATTATTCTACTTGAGCTTCAGCTGATTCAGTTTCAATGGTTATTGCAGAATGGTGAGCTGGGTAGCCATGTAAGGCTGGAGAGGAGTTATTCCAAGCTAGAATGTTAGGTGGTGTTACTCCACCATTCTAATAAACTCATCCACTTAGCTGAAATATGAGATTTAATGCACCTCAAATATGCTTGTAAACATTGATAACCCTCTCTGATGTGAGCAAGGAAAGAGAAAACTCCCATTGGATTTTTTTTCCTAAGCCCACGAAAAATATTTTTTTTAAGAGGGAGAAATCAGTTAGGGAAGGAAATTGATCCTAAATCGCAAGGTTATTTGAAAAAAGAGGAAAACTCCTTAAATGCTAAAAGAAAATATATTTAAATTCTTTCCTTTTAATCAGCCACAATTGAGTGAAATCTTCCTTAATTAATAAGGTTTCTACAAAAGGAGATCATATCTAGTTTATTTTGGGTTGTAATTCTCTTAATTTTATTATTTTCTTATGCTAGTGTATATTTAATTTTTTATGCAATTTTTACCATTAATTAGGAAATTATTTTCCTTATTATTTACATGGCTTGCAACTATAAATAAGTTTTTAATTCACAATTGTATTAATTAATTTTGAAGTTAATAAAATACAAGGTTTTCTAGCTTAGCAACTTGTTTTTTTTTACTTTCAAATTTAGGGGGAATCTTCGTGTATGCTTCTTCCTCTAAGTTTCGATGGAGGTCATTTTTCACATCAAACTATTGTAAGTCCCAATTAAAGTTGACTACTCAAAATAATAATATTTTGATTGTATTCATTTTCGCGACATGTGCAAATGTTTCATGATAGTTTACTCCATAGGTTTAAGTAAACCCTTTAAGTATCATTTGTACCTTTCATTCGACTCATATGCTTTGTATTTTACAGTAAACATTCATTTGTAACCAATTATCTTTTTTTCTAGTGGAGGTGAAAGAAACCCCCAGGTTTCTTTGTTTGCCAAAGTTTTCATTTCTTCAATCATTACTTTTTTCAATTTGGGATCTCGTAGAGTTTCTCTCTAATCTTATAGAATATACACTTTGAAAACAGATAAGATAAAAGTTGGATAAGAGGGAGATAGGGAGTCATAAGAAACAAAATTATACATAAGGTGCTTAGTGCATTACTTAACTTATTCTCTAAGAACAATGAGTTTATCCATATCATTAGATGAATCATAAAATAAAGGTAACTCACTAATATTTTCAGGAATTAAGGAAGATTCTTAACCTGAGACAGACTTCACGATAATTTTCTCAGTCTTATTTTTCCTTGAATACCTCTTCAAGTTCGATTGATTCAGGCATCCGACATTATTTTCTTGAATGAGACCTTTCGAATTAGAACTTTCTCATTAAATATGGCTGTTAAGAGTTAACAAACTAGGATAATCTCTTCCTTCTCACCCCCCTTGAAGATGTGTTGGGTTTGAATTGAAATAAATGCTCGGATTCACTAAAAATAACATCCATAGTTACAAAATATTTTGTAGACGGAAGATGATAACACTTATAACCTTTTTGAGCAGGGAAATAGCTAACAAATACACATTTAAGAATTTTGAGTTCCAATTTGCCCACATTTCTAGTATGGACAAAATAAACACATTTTAACACTTTTGGAGGAATAGTATATGATTTTTTTCTTTGCAAAACCTTCAAATGACTTATAAAGTTAAGAATTCTCAAAGACATTCTATTGATAAAATAAGTAATTAAAAGAACTGAATCTCCCCAATAACTTTTGGCAGGTTTATGGTGAATGTAAGAGACTGAGCTACTTCAATTGTGTGTATTTTTCCTTTCAGCAACATCGTTTTGTTCACTGATATAGACACAACTTGTTTGATACATTATTCTATTGGACTCCAAGTAGGCACATAATCCACTATGCATATATTTTATACTGTTGTCTGTTCTTAGAATTTTAATTTTAGCATCGAGTTGTGTGCATATTATTTTATGAAATGATTGAAAGCATGAGAAAATAACTTTTTGTTTTCAACAGATAAATTCATGTTAATTTAATACAACAGTAAATAAAAATAACAAATTATTTATGATAAGATAAAGATGTATAATGAGTAGGTTCTCAAATATCAGAGTGAATAGTTATAAAAGAGGTAGAACTTCTATGGTTACTTATATGATAAGAATTCTCATGTTTAGTTAGTTCACATGCATCACAAAATAAGAAATTTATGGAAATTCTTTTAAACAAACTGAAATATAATTTTTTTAAAGCAAAAAAACAAAAATGTCCCGACTGTTGATGCAACCGTAGAATTTTCTGGTTGACCTCCGTATTTCCAAAGGTGACTTGATTCCCAATAACACTTTGATTTCTATTCAAGACATATAAGTTATCCTATAGTCTGGTAGTGTTAATTCTTTTCCCTGTTTGAAGATCCTAAAGGATACACTAATGAAGAAAAAATTCAATTTTACGATTCAGATCTAGCATTAATGGATAAAAGACTGTCAGGAAAACTAAATACATGAAGAATTGAAAACAGAATAATGGTGAGAATACAATTAATGGAACTTGTTCTAGATACAGAGGTGTATGATTCATCTACCATACAAACCTTTTCTCTTTTAGTACAAGGAAAATGGGTTAGGAAGTCTTTAGAAGAGTTTATCATGTGTTTGCTAACTTTAGAATCTATAATGCAAGTATTAAAATTGGAGATATTAGGGAGAAGAATAATACCTAATTTTACCATATATGATGTACCAATAGTTAATGAAGAATTATCTAAACTAGGAGTAACCATTCTTTTCACTTATGTCATGGTTTAAAGTAACAGAGAAATGACAACACCAGTAGCTAATCTCACAGGGTATAGAACAAACTTTCTAGTAAGCACAAACGGAGTTGAGAGTAGCACAATTAGGTTGGAAAAGGAAACGAAGCTGCAAAGCCTGTTTTGGTGATCGGAAATAGACTGGTCTGGCAAGGAAGTAGCCGCAGATGCGGTGACAAAAGGCAACTTGGCTCAACACGCGGACATGCCATATCATAACAGCTCGGCGTGCGGATGGACTAGATGGGTCATCTCTGTGCACGGTGGAACATGGTAAAAGCTAGTCCGCGAAATGCGCAACAGTTGTGTGAAGGCATGTCCAGAGAGGCGCGATTTGGGCTGGATTGCATGCGATAAGGCCAGATCCAACCCGATTAAGGTTTTTTGGCAGCGGTGCAATGAATTTTCGAGTAGGGTAGGGTTTTTTGGCAGTGTATGTGACTCACACGCCCTGGAAACAATCACTGAAGTCGGGGGACAGGCTGGCGATGAGGCTACAACTCTGTCTGAGGTGGTGACGAGAGCATATCTTGATAAGTGGGTACCAACTTAACCTGTTGTGCTATTTTAGGATTTAGAGAAAACTTTAAAATTAAAATTCCAAAATAACCTTATTTTGACTCTGATATCATGTAGAATTTTTGAGAGAAAATTTTTTATATCTTTGTTTTCTCATATGACTTGTGATAGTACAATCGGAGTATATATACAGAATTTCTATTTATGAATAAAGAAATTTACATTATTATAAAGATTCTGATTGATTCTACTAATTAATTACACTATTATAGAAAAAATTATAAAAGAAAAAAATATCTTAACTAATGGAGCAACGAAATATTCTAGTCAACAAATGGGTTGATAGGAGTTCTTTCTTTATTTCAGTTTACTCTAACGTACTATTCTAGTTTACTCTAACTTAGTCTATTAAAAACTCCCAGTGGAATTTTTTTAAAAACTACCATTATACTTGTCAATAAGTAGATTCTACACATGACAAGACAACCACCAAAACAAAGTAAGAATAGCAATGGACTACATGATAGATTGAACACTTAGAAATTATCTCTTTTTCATCCTTTGTTATGCTTTATCTTTTATTTAGAAAAAAATCTTTTGTTATATTTTATCAGATGTCTGTTTCAAAAAAGAAAAGTTTTATCAAACGTCAAAATGCGAGGGCACATAACAGAAGTGGCTTGACAATTATGGTGTCGGCTTTTTCCAGGCTCTAAGGAGATATGGTTTTGTTTCTTCTACCTTGGAGTTTTTGTTATCCACTCATTTGAGGAGTTGGATGCTGAGGAATGAGCGTAACTTTTACAATGTCATTCTTAGTCTGTTAGGTGTTGAGTTCTTTGTTGAAATCCATTGCCAGGAGTTTCAATCTGTGGGTTCAGCATGTATATTGTTTTTCTTTATCATAGAGTCATACTTTATCCTCTGAAGATTTTAGGGAAAGAAAATAAAGATTTTTGAGAGGAGAAGAATTCCTTCTCTGATTTTTCTTGCATTACAGAATAAGGAGGGTGCAATTATATAAGCATCTGACACCCGAAAAATATCCTAACAGAATGAAGAAAAAAGGAATATTGTGGTAGCGGGCATCCCCACCTGTGCACAACAAATTCACACAAAATTACCAAACTACATTTTCATGACTTTCTACACTCCCTCTCAATTTAGATTACAATGATATTGAGTAATCCTATATTGCATATAATATTATTAAACACTCCTTTTGGTAGTGCTTTTGTGAGTATGTCTGCAGTTTGTTGACTGGTTGGAACATATAGTAGTATTATGGCCTGGTCTTTATTTTTATCCCTGATGAAGTGTCAATCTATTTCAACATGCTTGGTTCTATCATGGTACATAGGATTTTTTGCGATGCTAATAGTTGATTGATTATTACACCGGAGTTTCATAGGGGTAGGAACTGAGAATCTTAGTTCAAGTAGTATCTTTTTTAGCCACACTCCTTCACATATCCCATGAATAAGTGATCGTAATTCAGTTTCAGCACTGCTTCTTGATACAACAAGTTGTTTCTTGTTACGCCAAATTATCATATTGCCCCACACATATGTACAATAACCAGATCTGGATCTCCTATCAGTTACTGATCCTGCCCAGTCTGCATAAGTAAAGATTTCAATGTCTCTGTTCATTATTTTTTGAAAGAATAATCCTTATCTTGGTGTCATTTTTAGGTATCTTAGAATCCAGTATACCGGACTCATGTGTTTTTCAGTAGGTTGAGACATGAATTGGCTTACAGTACTCATTGTATAATTGATGTCAGGTCTTGTGTGAGATAAGTAGATAAGCTTGCCTATAAATCTTTGATACCTTTCTCTATCAACAGGTTTACGATCAGTTTTGAGATCTAGTTTAGCATTTGACTTCATAGGTGTTTATGTGGTTTTACAACCAAGCTTACATGTCTCTTTCAGGAGATCCAAGACATATTTCCGTTGTGATACAGAGATTCCTTTTTTAAACCGAGCTATTTCTATTTCAAGAAAATACTTGAGTATCCCTAGATCTTTAATTTCAAACTTTTTGGCTAGAAAGCTTTTAAGTCTCTGAATTTCTTCAACATGATCACCAGTCAAGATAATATTATCAACACATACAATCAGAACAGCTGTCTTGCTTGTGACACTGTGTTTGACAAACAATGTGTGATTGGACTATCACTGTTCATATCCCATATGTTTCACTGTCATGGTGAATCTATCAAGCCATGTTCTTGGGGACTGCTTGAGACCATAAAGTGTCTTTTTTACTTTACACATCTTTTGCGGGTTCATTTCAAGTCCTGATGGAACTTCCATATACACTTCTTCTTTTAGATCGCCATTGAGAAAAATATTTTTTACATCAAGTTGATAAAGAGGCCAATCAAAGTTTGATGCTAATGAGAATAGTACCCGGATAGTGTTGTGCTTGGCAACTGGGGCAAATTTCTCCTGATAATCAATTCCATATGATTGATTAAAATCTTTAGCAACAAGATGGGCTTTGTACCAATTCACACTTTCATCTGGATTATACTTTGCAGTGAAGATCCATTTGCATCCTACTGGGGTTTTTCCTGAATGCAGTTCAGTTAACTCCCATGTCCCATTCTTCTCAAGTGCTTTGATTTCCTCTTGAATTACAGCTTTCTATTGGAAACTTGAGTGCTTCATGAACTGTTTTTGGTTCTATGGTGTTGTTGTCTAGTTTACTCACAAGTGCATGATATGTTGAAGATAGTTTACCATATGAGACATAATCCTGTATGGGTTGCATGGTGCAAGAACAAGCACCTTTTTGTAAAACAATAGGTAACTCAGTATCAATATCAGTAGATGAGTCAGAGATTTCATTAACTATTGTATTCTGAGTGTCTGGTACAGGAGTTGATTCATGACAATGTGTAGTTGGTTTAGATACTTTACCATCTTGAGTCTTATTCCTTCTAGTGTAGAAACGTAACTCACTCTTTACAAGTAATGTACTATTAGTTTCTGTGACAAGTTCAGACTCTTTTGTAGTTTCAGGGACAGTAGGTTTAATTGACTCTTTTGTAGTGTTAGGGATCGGTTCAGTTGTTGGAGAATGTGCATTTGTCAAAGAGATATGTAGAAGAGGGGTGATCACATCCCACAATTGATATTTCTTAGTGAAATTCTCCCCATAAATATCAAAAGTGGGATAAAAAGGTTGGTTTTCAAAAAATGCTACATCCATAGTGTTGTAAAACCGACGGATACCTGGAAAAAAATATTTGTATTCTTTCTGATTTGATGAGTGTCCATCAAATACATATTTAAGAGCCCTTGGCTCTAGTTTCCCCATGAGATGAGCATGGATGTGAACATAAACAGAGCAGCCAAAGACTTAAATGGGACTGTTGTTACAATGTGAGATTTAGGGAAAGCTTAAAGGATAGTTTTGTAGGGTGTTTTAAGTTTGAGTATACGGGAAGACATCCTGTCGATCAAGTAGGTGGCGGTGAGGATAGCTTCTCCCCAAAGATGTTTGGGAACATGTGTAGTAAACATAAGTGATCAAACAACTTTAAGGATATGTCTATTTTTTCTTTCGGTTAGACCATTTTATTGTGGAGTGTAAACACATGAATTTTGATGGATAATCCCTTGATTAGAAAGGTATTTTCCCAAGGTGGATTCAAAATATTTGCATGCATTGTCTAATTTCAACACTTGTATTGTGGTGTGAAATTAGTTTTGATTCATAATGTTGAATTTGTGGAATATTTGGTCCATTTCAGATTTTTCTTTCATAAGTACATATAATTCTAGTGTGATCATCAATGAAGGACACAAATCGTTTTAAACAAGTAATGTAATGTTACCCATGATGGTCCCCATACACACTGAAATGAAAGCAGACTTTTATTTCTGAACAAAGCAGGAAACAATTGTTTCAAATAGAAAAAGTTTGGGTGTCCTAATCGGTAATGCCATAACATGATAGAGTGGTTATCATTTGAATATCCTACAGAAACTGAATTAGCACATATTGCATTTGAAGTTTGTCTATTTGAAGGTGTTTCAATTGGTAGAAGGTATAGTCCTGACTCCAACCTAACACTACCAATCGTCCTCCCCGAGAGGAAGTCCTGAAATATAAAAAGATCAATGTCAAATTTAACAATACAGTTCAGGTCTCTAAATAGTTTGCTCATAGATAACAGATTGCAATTCAAATTAAGTACATAGAGAACTAAATGTAGTGTCAAACATGGTGATATATCAGTTGAGCTAATTTCTGCCACCCTAGAACTTGTTCCATCAGCAATTTTTATAGAAAATACCTCCTTACACTCATTGTATTGGTGAAACAGTGAACAATCTCTGGTCATATGATCAGATGCCCTTGAATCCACAATCTACATTTGCCTTTTTGTGGAATAGGCAGATAAACCAAGTAGGGAATTACCTTTTTGTGCAATTGAAGCATTATCGAGAAGACCCTTTTGTGAAAACATCTTTAGGAAGGCCTCCATTTGTTCTTGACTGAAGGGAGTGCTGTCAGGTTGAGTGTTTGATGTATCGTCTGAGGTTACTAGATTTTCGTGATGAATTTCTGGTATGATGAGTTTCTTCTCTCCTGGTTTTCCATGAAGCTTCTAGCATTTCTCACGAAGATGACCTGATTTTTTCGCAGAATTCACACCATGACCGTCCTCTCTTTCCTCGAAAATCAATGACCCTGTGTGGTGAGTGTCGAGGCGTTCTCACTCGGTTGAGCGACCCGAGTGGTTAGTGCCGAGGCGTTCTCACTTAGTTGAGCGAGTTGGGTTTCTCCCATCATCACCTTTTTTCGGCTCTCCTCGCGGCGGATTTCAGCAAAAACTTCTCGAATACTCAATAAGGGCTTTGTGCCTAACACTCGTTCTCTTATGTCATCTAGAGTTTTGTTTAGCCCCATTAGAAACTTGAATATTCTCTTCTGTTCAACAATCGTTTTGAACTTCTTTGCGTCTTTCGAACAACTCCATTTGTGTTCTTCGAAGACATCAAGTTGCTGCCAATTATGAGTGAGAGAATTATAATACTGGGTAATAGACATCTCACCTTGCCGCAGCTCATGGAGGGCGGATTCAATCTCGAAGATGATCGATGTGTTATCTTGACTGGAGTAGAACTCTCGAGCAGCTTCCCAGACTTCGTGCGCAATCTCGTAGAGTAAGAAGTTCTTTCTAATTTCAGGAATCATGGAGTTTACTAGCCATGACATGACCATACTATTTTCAATCTTCCAAGCTTGCGAATTTTGGTCGTGTGCTGGTGGCGGTGTGATTTCGTCAGTCAAGTATTCGTCATGTCCTTTTCCTCGGATGAACAACAGTGCTGAGGAAGACCATTGCAGATAGTTGTTACTGTTGAGTTTGTGGCCGGTGATGAACGATGAAGACTGTTCCACCAGTCCGGTGTTGATGGGTGTAAGTAGATAAGCACCCGAGAGTACTTCGGGTGGAGATGAATTTTGTTCATCCGCGGCCATATGAGGATTCGACTTAGTCGGATTGAAGCTTCTGGATCAGAGATGCTCTGATACCATGAAGATTTTAGGGAAGGAAGATGAAGATTTTTGAGAGGAGTAGAATTCCTTCTCTGATTTTTCTTGTATTATAGAATAAAGATGGTGTCATTATATAGGCACGTGACACCCAAAAAATATCCTAATAGAATGAAGAAAAAAGGAATATTGTGGTAGTGGACATCCCTAGCTGTTTACAATAAATTCACATAAAATTACTAAATTACTCTTTCATGATTTTATACATTCTCTTGTATTATACTCTCTCTCTCTCTCTATGTATATATATATATTGTATATATATGTTATTTTCTCTCCTTATAAAGAACTTTTTTAATTTGATGCAAAATAAGCGTGTAAAACTCTTTTAAGGTCCGTCTACTTTTAAATTGTAGGGAATCTCCCAATCTCTTGTGTTTTTAGAAAGTAAGCTAGTTGGGGCTCATTTGGCATTCTTGAAAGAAAGATGTTTAAAGTATTTAGGTGTTATTTTAGAAAATAAACAGCTGTGTTTGGATGAATTGTTTATAATGAAATTTAACCAACTAGTACTCTGGTAAAAAATTTAAAAAATATATATGGATAAATATGGTGATTGAACATGTTAAGAAAACATTTTTAGTCCATATATCAAAGTCAGGGCAGATCGGATCGTTTTTTTATGTGGTGTGTGTAAGAAGCTAATGAACAGGTGCTTATGAGTACTTTTGAGTTTAGCAAATTGTCGGTGGTTTTACCTAATAAGCATCTTCAAGTGCCTCTTGTCCTCGAATGTACGCTTTTATGGTATAACATTACCTATGCTTTTATGTTAACAGGGCCATCAAGGCTGTGTCAATGCAATGGCCTGGAATTCAAAAGGTTCACTTCTGATATCTGGATCAGATGACACTCAGGTATGGAACATCTATATCCTCTATTTGGACATGTATATGCCTACATAATAGGACTTGGATATAGGTGGGAGATTTTGATTTTTAAGGTTGCATGGACCTTGTATGTTTGTTTCAAGTGAGTTCTTGTTGAAATGATTTTCTTAAACTGGTGCTGTTTCTAAGTGAGATCGAAGACTTTTAATGATCTTGTAGGCTGTGTTCGGAACAAATACAAAATCCTGTGAAATCCATATGCAAATTTAATTGAATTGGAAGATGATGAAAGTACTACATAAAATAATAAAAACCGAGCTCATATGAAATTGAAACAATACATCCTTGTATAATTTACACATTCTCCTAGTTGAAATTTTTGTGGATTTGCAAATGAGTTCTACCTCATTTCTAGATTTGTTCCAAGTATGATTGTTGTAACTTTTTCATTTGGTTATGCCATATTCCTTTCTCATGTAGTTTTTCTGGAGTATACCTAGAGCTGGGAGAGGTGTTAAGGAAGGTTACTTGTTTGTGATGGTATTTCTAGTGTGGTTGCTACATAATAGGATCAAGCCAGTGTTTGGCATCCTTTTAATTTCTACTTCACCAGAAAAAGAAATATTAATTCATCTTCTCTCTTTCTATCTCATGCTCACTCGTAAATGCTATTTCATGTACCTGACGTTAAATCACGTTGGCTTTAACTCGTGCAGATTAATATCTGGAGCTATTCTGGTCGGAAGCTTTTGCATTCTATAGATACAGGACATTCTGCAAACATATTTTGTACCAAGTTTATCCCTGAAACTTCTGATGAGTTAGTAGTATCTGGAGCTGGGGATGCGGAAGTAATATTCTATGATGAATCATTACTTTATGATGGATTCTACTTGGATGAAGTTGAATCTATTTGAAAGTCTCATCCTCTGATTGTTTTTCTTTTTGGGCAGGTGCGGTTGTTTAATTTATCCCACTTAAGTTGGAGAGGACATGATGATAATGCTATAGCTCCTTCCGGGTTGTATCAATGTCACACCAGACGAGTAAAAAAATTAGCTGTAAGATCTTATATAGCTGAAATGTCAGTTTTATAGAGTCAAATAGATGCAAGTGAAACTCAAAATTACATAATTGTTCTGTTGAGTGGATGTAGAAGTTTCTTTTGCTTCACTGTTATTCTCACAATTTTTACCTGGTCTTTTTGCCTGCAGGTTGAGGTCGGTAACCCCAATGTGGTCTGGAGTGCAAGTGAAGATGGGACTTTAAGACAGCATGATTTTAGGGAGAGCACTTCTTGCCCTCCTGCAGGATCTTCTCGCCAGGAATGCCGTAATGTTCTAGTAAGTACCACGTGTTGATTGTTTTCTAGTTCATCTGTCCGTATATTTTCGTTTTCACCCAACTCCAAAAATTTATATTTTATTTGCATTCTGTGAGAGATATTTATGTTTTATTTCCCTCCACTTTTCATCTTATTCAAATGAACTAGGGTTCTGTTTGTCCAGTGTTACATGAGTAGAGTTGTTGCTTCCATTTTCTTTTTAAGTTTTGCTTCTGTGTTTGTTTAGTTAACTTAAATTTGAACAGAAGCTTCTCTTAGTCTGTGTCATAGTATGTAAGACAATGTAAAGGATATTGAATAGGTATGCCTTTTCCTTTTCAATGAGATTTTAGTTCTTGTTTTCTTTTGTTCGGCTTGAAGGCTATGGACAGTTTAAAACTTTCCTATGGGTAGTTACCTCAAGAAATGCGTTGTGGCTGCTGGCCATAGGGTGAAGAATTTAGAACCAACAGATTATATGTCAGATATGGATCACATGATGGCTGATGTTATTAGAGTTCAGAAGTTTGCATATGTGTTAAGTTGATCCTGGAAACAATTTAAGGTTCTGAATGGAATGGGGAAAATTGGCTGTTCAGAAGTTCAAAGAAAACTTCTCTAAAATTACCTGTAAGTGGTACAGGTCGAGTTATTGATATGAGATGGATCC